CCCCCCCCCCCCCCCCCCCGGTTGGTTCTTCTCCTTCGCTGTTGCCATTGCATTGAACGTACGGCAGGATCTGTTCGACGTAGCGATTGCGGGGCCTACGGTCGGCTTCGCGACTGCGGCTGCGGCGTTAGTGATGGGCCTGCAGATGACCGCCGCGGCTGGGCCCGACGTGTTGGCAGGTTTGTTGTCCCTGATATGCGTGCGTCTGCGTGCGTCATTTTTGTTAGCATCGACCGCGCTAACCGGCTGACCAATGAAAAAACGTCAGTCTCAGTGCTGTGGAAAAACGAAAAATGTTTCCATTGGCCACGATCTGGGACCCCGGGACCGAGTGCCATGGGGGATTCAACGCTACTCTCCGGGTTAAAAGACAGATACCCTAGGAATAACGGAATAAAACCGCACGTGTTTGCCATGGCTGCTACTACGATGGAGGATGTGCGTGCGTTTTGGATTGATTGCTTTCATCGTCTTTCGTGCATTTACTACCGCCGCTCTCGTTTCCAGTATTCCCACTACTTGTTTGCCACGTCCTCTCCAGTCCTGCGGCGTTTGTGTTGAGGAAGGTGTCATTCGCCTCAAAACCCTTTGCTCTCTTCCACGCCACGTTGTCCTCCGCCATCATCGCCTTCATTCTCCTTTCTTTCCTTTCTTTCCTTTCTTTCCTTTCCCCTTCCTTCGTCTCCGTCACCCCCTAAATAATGTTGTGTGTGTGTGTCTGTCGTTTGCATCGCCCGCGCTAGTCTACTGACCGATGAAAACTACGCCAGTGTCGGAGCGATTAGAGACACAAAACGTTGATCTGAGACCCCGAGAGGGGGCGTGATGGTGTGTGTCTTGAACTGACCGCGCCAACCGGCGGGACCGATGAAAATACGTCAGTCAGTCGGTTGAATTAGAATTCACCGCGCTAACCGGCTGACAAATGAAACGACGCCAGTCTCAGTGCTCCCAATGGCGGCACGCGCTTCTACAGGACATGACCTGGGACTCCGTGAGGGGGGGCTCATCGGGGAGACTAGGATTTCTTTCTCTGTGTATGTACGTTTCTTGGACCAGGATCGACGGCGCTAAACGACTGGCCAATGAAAAGGCATTAGTTAGATTGCCGGATGGAACACTTGATCCACCGTAGGTTGCACAAGACACCACATCCCCTTGACCGATTTTTCAAACTTAATTTGCCCAGGTGACCATGCCGAAAAGGGCGGCGTTGGAACGGTCTTGCAGAGAACTATCCGAAAACGCAATACTGTACTTCGATTGCGGCATCCTCTTCGTTGTGGACGAACCGGGCTGTGAAAACCGTTCCAGAGGGTGTGGCATCCGACGCAGCCTGCCGTAATTGTCGGCCTCCCGGCCAGCGCGCATCCGAGTGTTGGTTGTCTGTCTCTTCTGTTTTGTATTGACTGCCGAACTCGCGATGACGGCTGACGAATGAGAATACTTCACACATACGTAAAAAAGACAACGCGTTTTTGTGCGCGCATGTGTTGGTTTTGGGTCCCCTCTCTGTGCCCACTCGTCTTTAGTGTGTGCAGGATTCCCGTCACTGCCTGCCAGACTTCCCCCCAGGATCTTTTTTGTTTGTTTTTGTCATTTGCCAATATAAACACCACATTTTTTGCGTGTTCGTATTGCGGGTGCCCCTCTACACTGGAGCAAGAAGTCCACACAACATTTTTTTTTGTTTTGCACTTGCCAACAAAATCAGGTGGGTGTGCACCTCTCTCTGCCTACCCGTTGGCGGCCCTGCCCGTGCACCAATTCCGTCGGTGCCTTAAAGCGTCGTCCCAGAAGTTCTTTTGTGTTTTTGCGGTCATTTGCCTATACATTTTACACATCTTTTGCGTGTTCGTGTTGCGGGTGCCCATCTACACCGGGGGAAGGAAGGCCACAGCACACTTTTTTTTTTTTTGCATCATTTTGTGAATAAAAAAAAGATAACAGCAGTTTTTTGCGTGTTTGTGCCGCGTGCAGGGTTTCCGTCGCTGCCTTCCAGCCTCCTGCAGTGCAGCTCGCTCGTCGGGTCGGTGGTGGACTACTTCCTGCACACGAACCTCGCCGTGCAAGACCTGGCCGTGGAACGTGTCGCGATGCACCCACTGGTGAGAAACCATTACAGATGTGGGCACGTACCCCACAGGCGGAGGAAGATACCACCCCCTGGACCGACTCTTACTATAGGGTAGTATGCTGTGAGGACAGTGACGGTGCACACACTGGTGATAATTGGTAAAGAAGTGGGAACATACCCCACAAGCGGAGGAAGATACCACACCCCCTGGACCGACTTTTACTATGTATGCTGTGAGAACAGTGATGATACACACACTGATGACGTTTGATATTGAAGTGAGCACATGACCCACAGGGGGAGGAAGATACCACACACCCTGGACCGACTTTTACTATGGACGTATGCTGTGAGAACAGTGACGGAGTTGACTAGCCTGCTGGAAAAACAGTGGCTGTGCCCCCGCTGGTTACATAGATAGATGAGGCTTGTTACCATACCACATTCCCCCTTTACCGGCTTTTCGAAACGGAACGGGTGGCGATGCACCCACTGGTGAGATGTCATTGACGAGGGCACGCCGAACATGTTTCACCACTATTGCTCAGCCTGTAACAGCGCGATCGATGTCGATGGTGGTAGTTGTGAAGACCACACCCTGTGGTCCAATATCCTCCGAGGGCCCCCCTGTTGAGGGAGAGTCCGCGGACAAGAAAAGCGTGTTCTCGTAGTTATTTTTGTTTTTTCCGCAGGTCACAGTTCATTGTACAGCGCGATGAATTCACCTTGCTATCTATCTTGGAGTTGTCTACCCGTGGGTGGAGACAGGTTCCTCTTTGTGAGAAAAATACACAACACGCACGAGAATAATCACTTCTCGACCGACCAACGCCATCTACCATAGACCTGGCAGGCTGTAGGAGTTGTTGCCGCAATACACTGGGACGGATTTTTGTTTTTTTTGTGAGACAACCACCAAATACGCAACGATAATAGCCTCTTCTCGGCGGCAACCAACCCCTTCCCCCATAACACCGGTGGCAAGTCGGATTCACTCTTTTGTTTGTGAGAAAATACCAAACACCAACGAGAATAATCACTCTCGGCGACCAAACACGACCGAGCATTTATCTCTTCTCGGGAACCAACCTTCCCCCGTACTCTAACACCTGTGGCAGGCCGTAGGAGGCGTTGCCGGAATGCTGTGGACCGCCGCGACGGTGCTGCCTCTCCCAGGCTCAGATGGTGAAGCGGTTATCGACACCCTCGACACCAACTTCAAGTACAACGCGATCGTCACGCCTTTGGCATACCTATTCGCGGTGAGCCGATATGGCAGCGGGGGGGGGGGGGGGGGGGGGGGGGGGGGGGGGCCCCCCCCAAAAATTTTTTCCAAAACAAATTTTAAAAAACCCGGTTTCCCCCCCCTTTCCCCCAATGTTTCCCCCGGGCCCAAATTGGGGGGGGTCCCCAAAAAGGCCCTGCCTTTTTTTTAAAAACCAAAAACTTTTCTCCCCCCCAAATAGCCGGGCGGGGGGAACTTTCCGATTTTTCCCCCCCCCCGGTCTTTTTTAAAAAAAGGAACCCCAAAGCGGGGGGGGGGAAAATTTGGGGGCCCCCCCTTTTTGCCGGGGAAAACCCGGGAAAAAAAGAAGTTTCACCCCCTTTTTTTT